AGGCAGGAGGCGGTGCTATTTTCAAACCTTGCTAGCTCTCTCGCTAGCTTTCCAAGATTACCAACCCCAGCTTTAAAGGATGACATGTAAATGAATACCTCCAAAGACCCAGGACTCAACAACAAGGATTGCCCGCTTGCCCGGGGCAAGTAAAATGCCACATTGGACTAATACATCTAGCAATCTAGTTTGGTCTGCTTAACAACACAGTCAGCAGTTACAGCAGTAGCTGTGACACAGACAGCTCATGAAGGGAATTATGGTACAACTTTTGATATCAAGAGCTTGAAACTACAGGGGCTACAGAACAGAACCCCCGAACTGGACTGGGCTAGACTGGCTCAAGTGAAACACCATCTGTGGCATATATCTTATCTTATCTTATCTTATCTTATCTTATCTTATTTAGATATGGAAAAAAAGGTATTTGGGGTATATCAAAAATGCAGCTGTACATGTTTTACTCATGTTAAGCAGCACTGGATCTTACCTTATAGCAATAGTTTCGTGATATCACCCGAGTCCAGCCATCTGCACATCTGGGAGGGGGAACAGTCACTGGTGCTGGGGTTGCCCCTGCCCCCTGTGCGAGGTGTTTGCAGATGTATTTCTCCTTATTGGTGCAGGGCAGCACCTCCCAGAGGCCAGCAAAAATCCCAGTTGTCATGGCAACGCAGCCCTTCTGGTGACCTTGCATTGTCAAATACAGATGTGTCAAATGTGAAGCTTTACTGTTGCATTGGACACGTCTTACAGAGAAAAATGATAATTTCTTCATACCTGGCATTCCAGTGTTCCAGTGGGTAAATCTCACCGAGTCTGTGTTGGTCCACACAAACTCGTCAGTGTTTTGCTGGTTTGAGAGGCCTAGCCAGAAGTATTTTTCTGATCTCAACCCCACCAAGCTCACAAGGAATGCATTATCCACCCTGGAAATATTTACACAAGTACGAATGCAGGTTTTCTAATATCAGTGAGTGATGTCCAGTAACAAAACAAAAAAGTGCATATAATAGACATAATATATCCCATTATAACTGAACTGAAATTTAGCATGTTTACTTTTTAGTATTTTCAAATGTTTGGAGTCAAAATAATATTTTTTACCCATTTGAAACATCAGCTAAGTAGGAACTTGAGCTCTCGCAGACAGCTTTGGCTTCATCAAACGTCTTTGTCTCTGTCCCTACAAAGTAGCAGTAGGAACCATGCCTTTTCCAACCCTGGATTGTCGAAAAACAAAAGTGGGAACATCTTATTAATAGCGGTGAGGTTCATATCAAGGTTTTGGGTTGGTTTTTGGACTGCATAGGGCAGCATATCCTTCTATATAAACCCCCCAATGCTTTAGTTGTGGATTTCAACCTGTCTGACACAGAATGGAGAGGTTGGTTAAAGGCTGCTGGGAGAAGAAGTTGCTCTTCCCTGCCAGAGTCTGTCCTCCTTGCACTGTCAACAGACACACTGAGGTGATGTCGAAGCAAATGGTTCAACATATTGGAAATATTAACGCTAGCGCAAGGCACACGAGTTGCACACACAGGCACTGTTTTATCATCCTTTTTCCATCATTGTCATAGGTAACACTAAATAATGCTCCAATACAGCCGATCGAAAGAATACTGCCGGATTCTCTGCCTGTAGACTTCTCTGTCTGTGAACTCGCCATTTCCAAGACTGACTGACAGCTGCACTCCACACTCTCTACACGGCTTTCACTTTACAGCATGTATTCTATAGTGTATGTAGGAATTTCTCAACAACTTTGGCAAAGTATGGTATAAATGAAACAATACCAGGGATTTAATCAAACGTTTGCCAACTTTCTGTATTGCTCTATTCTGTGAAACAAATTGGCCATCAGAAAGTTTTGCAGAAGTCCCAGCCCTGTATGACACCACTTTAACTTTGGGGAAAAAACTATAGACAGACATTTTTTCATAAATTACAAAAAGTAAAGTTGACGCACATTGTTGCAGCCCGCATTCTGCTCCACCTCTTCGCCAGTGGGTTCAGAGGCACTCGTCATCATACAAATGAAGCCATGTGTCTGGTCACATGCACGCTCAGCCCAGTTTCCATTCTGAAAGAAAGAAGCACAGCACTGGATGTACCAACAGATAGGTAAACTCCAACATATGCTGTCAGACAAAAAGCCCAGTGTCATAAGTATGTACAAATGTATTATAGATATAGAGCTGTGCGAAATGACCAAAATGTAATATCCCCATGTAGGTCATTTCATATTTTTTTTTATTTAGAGAGAAAGACAGATGCACACACAAGACAAAGTTTTTGTTTTCTGATATTTTCTTGATTTTATGTTTATTTCTTTTTCTTTTTTTGTTTTACTATATACTATAATTTCTTAATGTTTTGGCAATGTTGTTTCTGTTACACTTGTGCCAACTGAGCAAGCTGAATTGATTGTTTCACCTTTGTTCTTTTTGACAGGCTCATTAATAACAAGCCTCCTCTGCACGAGGCTCCCATGCTTTGGTGAAACGCCATTAGGTGAAAAATCTGAAAAATTTCACTTCTGTGTGTACAGTGAATTAAAGTGTGATATGTGACAATTTGCCTGATCATTGGATAAATAATTATGCTTTTACCAGAAGCTAGCATTTGTACCATTCCCAAATGGTGCTCCTTACCTCTCCCCTCATAAGAACACAGTCTCCTTGGTCAGAGAAGACAGTAGGTCTCCCAAATTCCCAGCTGGTAAAGCTGACAGTAGAGTGGTCAGTCCAGTCAAACAGCTTCTCTGTCTTTCTGTCATTCAGTCCAATCCAAAGCTCATCAGTGGATGCTGCAGACATGGGCAGAAAAAAACCTTCCCTCAAACATATGTCATTTATCTTTATTATGGAAAAGAGACATCTGCTCTGTCCGCTTTCCCTCATCACCCACTCCTGTGTTTTACGCAAGCACAGTGCGCTAGCTCGGCTAATAGCGAATTATTACTAAAATAAAAAGTTAATTATGTCGTCCTGTTTTTTTTTTTTCAAATTCTTGTTTTAAACTGAGCTGAGACAAACCAGTCCCTCCCCACTCTACCAGGGTTACCTGCAGGAGGAGTTTAGCATCAGGCTTGGACAGAGGACAGGATGAATGACTGTTAGTATTTTGATGTCAGGAATATTATTTCTTTTTATTGACATTTTAGATTTGTTTACAGTGAGATATAATTGAGTT